CAGGAGGTGTGGGGGGGGGGAGGGGAGGGAAGGCAGTAGAAGGGAGGGTTGGAGGAGGAGGAGGAGCAGCACGCGACCTACGTGTTTGTGTGTAGGTGTGCCTCCGTCTGCTCGGCTGGGTCTTGCTCTGCGCGGCTTTGCCCGGCTGCTGCTCGGCAGCTTCCGTTTCCCCCTTCGCCTTTCCGCCTTGCCTTCTCGCTTTGGCCCGCCGTGTTTCGCCGTTGGTACTTCTGTTTGGGTCCTTGCTTATCGTCTGTCCCACTTCCTGGCCTCTTGCACCCGGCTGTCTAGGCTGCACGCCGGCTGGCTCGCTTTGGTGTGGCCTTTGTCGATGTCTCCTGCCCAGCGCACGTCTTCACACGGGGTGGCCAGTTCCTTACGCGACCGTTAGGTTTGCATCCGTCGACAGGAGCTCCTCGGCGCGATAGAGGACAAAGTGTGTGTGTGTGTGCGTGGAGCAGGAGAAGGGGGATTTCAACGCGGATTTCCCGAGGGTCGACGACCAGTAGGAGAAGGGGGGAGGAAAGAGGAGGAGGAGGAGGAGGGAGGAACTAGGTAGGAAAGGAATGATGATGATGATGATGGTGGTGATGCTGATGCTGATGATGATGATGATGATGATGATGATGATGATGATGATGATGATGATGATGATGATGATGATGATGATGGTGATGCTGCTGATGACGTTGATGATGCAGGTTATGAGTATGATGATGACGATGATGATGATGACGGTGATGATGATGACGATGCTGATGATGATGATGATGATGCTGATGATGATGATGAATGTGATGCTGCTGCTGCTGCTGATGATGTTGATGCTGATGTTGTTGTTGATGCTTATGACGATGCTGATGATGCTGATGATGATGAGGAGGAGGAGGAGGAGGAGGAGGAGGGTCTGTCTGTAATCCACAGCCCCAGACCCCGTTTCATGGGGCCAATCATGTCAGGCTCTGCGCGATCGTCTCGGATCGAGTCCCTTCCCGAGCCGAGAGGAGACCTCGCTTCTCTGAGGGAGCTCGGCGGGGCACGTCTACGCGAGGCCCTGCATCTGCCCTCCCGAGGCGTCTTGAGTGGCAGAGCTGGCACTCACAAGCAGCACTGTTACCACTACACGCTAACATTATGTCGGGCGTGTCCCCCTACAGGGTGATTTTCGACGAAAAATAACAAACACCCCAAACATACCCCCAAATGGTCAAAACATACTCAAAAATAGTCTCCAGGCTATTTTTGGACAATTTTTTGATTATTTTTTGGGTATTTTTATTTTTCGTCGAAAATCCCCCTGTAGGGGGACACGCCCGACATAACGCTAACACCAGGCAGCGATTTTGCAGCTCTCCCTGCCCGCCTGGGCCACCTCGGAGGCCAGGGGGGGGGGAAGGCGGTCCCCTCTGGCGGGACGACCCACGGCTGCGTTCCGCGTGCTGCAACTCGGGAGGGGAACAGAGACACACTAGCACAAGCCATCGCCGATCCCCAAGAAAGGTATGGGAAACTACAGGAAGTGGTGGGGGAGTCGAACACCCTACAGTGCCGTTCTTAATACATTTTCCGCGTGCGGATCATGGATTACACATGCAGGATTTAGTATTAAAACGACGATGAGCTCATGCAGAAAATTATTCATATATTGATCATGTATTAAACACCATATATACATTTTAAAAAACATATGTATTGACAGCTGCCCTGTATTGGTTTGTGTGTCCCAGGGCCCCTTCCGCGCAACATCGGTGGCAACGTCCGCGGACCGCCTCGCCGATCCTGCCCAGGGCCGACCCCCATGCGCAGGACCGAGCGGCCCGCCCCGCGGCCGAGCCGAGAGCGCCCAGCACGCGGCTCCCAGGCCCCAGGGCGGGCCCGGCCAGGATCGGAGAGGTGGTCCGTTCGGACTCAGGGAAGCGAGCAGTGACGTGAGCATGAGAACTCCTCCTCCCTCCTCCTCCCTTCTCCCTCCTCCCTCCCTCCTCCCTCCTCCCTCCTCCTCCTCCTCCTCCTCCTCCTCCTCCTCCCTCTCCTCCCTCCTCCCTCCTCCCTCCTCCTCCCTCCTCCTCCTCCTCCTCCTCCTCCTCCTCCCCTCCTCCTCCTCCTCCTCCCTCCTCCTCCTCCTCCTCCTCCTCCTCCTCCTCCCCTCCTCCTCCCCCTCCTCCTCTCCTCCCTCCTCCTCCCTCCTCCTCCCTCCTCCTCCTCCTCCTCCCTCCTCCTACTCTCCTCCTCCTCCTCCTCCTCCTCCTCATCCTCCTCCTCCTCCTCCTCGTCCTCCTCCTCCTCCTCCTCCTCCTCCTCCTCCTCCTCCTCCTCCTTACGGTGGGGGCCCGTGCCAAGAAACCTCTTGCTTGCCTCCAGGGGCGCCCTGGGCTTCTTGGGTTTCGATGGTTCTGCTATGGGAAGCGAGACCAGGGGAACGAGCAATGACATAAACATAACAACTCGGAGGTCCGCGCGGATTGCTCGGATCGGCGCTGGAGCCCCCTGGCGGCGCCTCCGCGCGCCAGGGAGTGGGCTCCAGCGCCGATCCGAGAAATCCGCGGGGACCTCAGAGTTTTTATGTTGATGTCAATGTTTCCTTCCTTATTGACGCTGCCCGACAGCGGCAGTTGCCCAGCCCAGAGCCAGTGGTGTCGTGGCCCCGCGGTGGGTCGGGGCGGAGAAGGGGCCCCCTCCACCCGAGCTCGGAGATGTCGGCGGCAGGCTTGGCGACAGCGCTTGACTTTGAAGTGGTGACTCCGACATGCCCGCTCTCCGAATTCGACCTGTGAGGGTGCAGCTGCACTCCAGCTTCCGCGGCTTGGTCGGAAGAGGTTCCCCAGGCGTGAGTCCTTTCGCACTGGGCAGGAGAGGCGTCATCGTCTCGGTGCGCCTTTGGACGCTCCTTCCCCAAGAAAACGTAAGGACAAGAAGCAGACTGCATCACAAGATAAGTCGTTCCGCGTCAGAGTTTTCAAAGTCTTGACGCGTCGCGTATCCCCACCAGCGATTCTGGACCGCTGGTTCACTCAGGAGTGGTTCAGCCTTCTTGATCGACCATGTGTGTTCCCCCTGTCGGTCTGCATTCAAGCACGTTGGACTGTTCATGCAGCCCCGCGCTTCGCCACTTCTGTGGCGCGTCGACCTCTGGTGCCTGGATGCGACAAGGTCCAATTCACTCCTCCTGGTGGTCTCGTCCCGGGGATGCCCGCACGCCTGCACAGCCTCCTGGCAGCCCCGGCAGCTCTTGCAGCCTCCGCCCTCGGCGCAGCCCCGCTTTCCCCGGCGGTAGCAGCCTTTGCCCTCGGCGCAGCCCAGCTTCCCCTGGCGGTAGGTTTAGCTGTTGCCTGCGCGCGCGCTAGGCAATTCGTTCTGCTCGTAGCCCGAGCCGGCCTGTGACGCCGCCCGCACCTTCGCCTGCGGTTGCGGCAAAGAACCCCACCAGCCCATCCAGAAACAATGCCCATGAGAGTTGACGGGGGGAGAGGAAGAGGCACGCATAGTCAAACAGCGAGCGAGGCTTGGTGGGCTCCGTGGCCATCTCGAGCCGTCTTGGAGGGGTCTTGGGGCCGCTTGGAGCATTTTGGGGGCCATCTTGAGCCAGCTTGGGCTATCTGAGCCATCTTGGATGTCATCTTGGGCTCTGTGAGGCCACTCGGGGGCCTCTTGGGGGCCTCGCAGGTGCTTGTTGGAGGCCTCTTGGGGCTTCTTGCCGCGCTCATTGGGCCCTCTTGGGAGCCTCTTGGGAACCCTGGAGGGCCTTTTGGGGCCATCTTGGAGGCGGTCTGTCAAAAGAGGGGGTATTCGATTTAGGTCCCCCCCTCGGGGGCCACGATCTTCGTGAGTGGTGGCCAAACTGGTCCTTTCAGGGGCAGAAAAGGAGCCTCTGACACCTCGCGATCCTTCCCAAGAAACCTCAGGGAGGGGATGGGGAGGGTTCCCCTCCCCGAAGGGAAGAGGGGTTGTGGAAGAGGAAAAAGACTCGTTAAACCACCTCTCGCCCAAAGGGCTGGTGGGACTCGTTGGCAACGACTTGGCAGTGAGACACACAACTGGACGGACAGCGCTCGCAGGCGCAGCAGGCCTGGCCGCGACATCTCGTCCGTGGGCCGGAGCTCTCCAGAGGACCGTAAAGCGTGGCCAGGATCTTTCCCTAGCGATTCCCGTAGACACCCCAACCCACTCGGTGAAGGTCCTCTAATCACATAGTCGGCGACGAGTCCAGATGGGGGGAGTGAGCAGGGGCAGGCCTTCTCAGAAGGCTCGGAAGCCCCCCCGCCTTCTGCGGCTAGATTCCCTTCGAAATCCTGGCCAACAAAAACAACCCGAGATGGTCCCAGGGAGAAATTCGTGGTATCGGTATCTTCTGGCTTCTCCAGACCAGGGAGAGGGTGGAATATCATTGCCGGGGCCCTGACATTTTCCAGGATCTCATGGCCCCACCTTTTCGTTTTCAGTGCGTCCCTACGTCCTCCTCCCCCCTTTCCTCGGGGCCGCGCACGTGCCACGGGCCATGGTGTGCGACCCCTCCTTCTAGACGCCCCCCTCCCGGCGGGCCCTGACTTGATTTTTGGGCGCTGCCCCGCGCTGTCGGGAACAGCGCCGAGGCCTGTGGGGTGAGGAGGGGGGAGCTATGTGTTTGTTTGGGCCCCAGCGATGCGTTCCCCCTGAGCCGCCCGCTCCGTCCGCCCCTCTTTCGACCGCGCCCTCCCCCCGTTCCTCCTTTTGGCATGGTGGCACAATTCGCTCCAAGGGCGTTCCCGCTCAGGCATCCCATCGCCATCGCAGATGTCCCCTGCCTAGCCGCCGGCGCAAAAAAATTGATATGGCCACCGCCTGCGGGGGTCCCCGAACCCAGACCCCCGAGGTTATGTTTTTTTCATGTCGCGACCCCCAGGGGTCCGAACCAGGCGCCTGGGAGCCCTCTCTGGGGCTCGGGACCGTCAACAAACGGCACGGGATGAAAAGCTTGTCCCAGGGTAAATGTCGGGACTTCGGGAACTGCGTGCGGTAAAAAAACAGGACGTCGCATGTTTGGGACCGGACCGGTTGGTTCTTCATCCTGAGCAAGATTTTGACGGCCCCGAGACCCGGGAAGGGCCCCCAGAGGCCGAAAGTGTCGAATGACCTCCCTTAAGATAGGGGGAGGAGGAGGAGGAGGAGGAGGAGGAGGAGGAGGAGGAGGAGGAGGAGGAGGAGGAGGAGGAGGAGGAGGCGGAGGCGGAGGCGGAGGCGGAGGCGGAGGCGGAGGCGGAGGCGGAGCGGGCGGAGGAGGAGGAGGAGGCGGAGGAGGAGGAGGAAGAGGAGGAGGAGAGGAGGAGGAGGAGGAGGAGGGAGGCGGAGGAGGAGGAGGAGGAGGAGAGAGAGAGAGAGAGAGAGGTGCCGCTCCTGAGCTCCCTCGACGGCCGCTCCGAGGCGCGGGGCCAGGGGGCGCGGGGCCAGGCGGCCGCTCCCCTCGCGGGGCTGGCGGCCCTTCGGGGCGAGCGGGAGGGGCACGGGCATCTGGGCCTCCCAGGAGGGGTCGGAGCGGATGGGGTCGGAGGAGCGCGCCGCATCGCCGATGCTAGGGGAACAACAAGTGACATAAACATAAAAACTCGGAGGTCCGCGCGGATTTCTCGCATCGGCGCTGGGCCCCCCTGGCGGCGCCTCCGGCGCCGCCCCTGGCGCGCTCCGCGCGCCAGGGAGGGGGGTCCAGCGCCGATCCGAGAAATCCGCGCGGACCTTAGAGTTTTTTATGTTTATGTCACGTTTTGTTCCCCTAGATGCATCGCCGATGCGGCTCGATGTGGAAGTTCGATTTTCTGCGCGCCGACGTCGCCGATGCATCGGCGAAGCGGCGCGCTCCTCCGACCCCATCCACTCGAACCCCATCCAGGAGTCCTCTGGGAAAGAATGGGCACGATGAAGTCGGGCGTGTCCCTATACAGGAGGAACGTTCAAACATAGTTCGAACATAGTTTGGAAATGATTTTCGGCTATGTTTGGCCATGTTGGTGTATGTTTCGACTATGTGTTGTTGCTCGTCGAGAGTCCGCCTATAGGAGGACATGTTCGACCTAAGGGTACGATGCCCAACAGTCAGGAGGGGAACAAACACACAGACAAAATGAATCGTCGACTCCCAGGAAGAATGGGCACGATGCCCAACATCAGAGTAGTAGAAACACGCCATACACATAGATGTTTGGCGCTTCGCGCGGGTTTCTTGAATCGGCGCCTGGGCCTCCCTGGCGGTGCCTCTGGCGTCACGCCTGGCGCGCTCCGCGCGCCAGGGAGGGGGTCCCGCGCGGATCCAAGAAATCCGCGCGGAGCGCCAACATTTTATGTTTATGTTTATTTTTGTTCTTTTTCTAAATAGGTACGATGCCCAACAGCAGTTCCTTCCCATTTTGAACAGGACTCGCTGTCCGCGCCGCCGCGGACGTTGCTCATTGAAGACAAAAAGGCGCCTGCCCAACAGCGGCCGCTGTCGGTTTTGGCCGCAATGGGGGGAATGGGGGGGGGGAGCGGCGACGGGCCCAGCGCTCGAGGAGGAGGGCCCAGGGAAAGGGGGGGGGGGAGCGGCGACGGGCCCAGGGAAAGCGGGGGCGCAGGGAGAGGGGACGACAGAGAGGACGACTCACGAATGACGGAGACGGCGACTCGAACGGACAAGCCCCTCACACGATGCCCAACAGCAGTTCCGGTTCATTTTGAACAGGACTCGCTGTCCGCGCCGCCGCGGACGTTGTTCATTGAAGACAAAAAATCGCCTGCACAACAGCGGCCGCTGTCGGTTTTGGACGACATTTGTTGTTCGGTATTGTACCCACTTGTTCCGTACCCGTTTCGGGCGCGAATGGTGATCTGAGATGTTCTTGGTTTTTGTTAGCGGAGGTTTGATCCCAGCTGAAGTTCTTGTCGGATTACAGCCAGTGAGGGGGAAATGAGGAGGCCGACGTTGGAATGTCGGTCAGGTTCGCGTGGCTTCCATGAATACGTGTGCGCCTGTCACACTCGATCTCAGCAACTTCAGATGCGCTCCACGCGAGTGAGGGACCTCCCCACTGATCTTTCCACGGTCCATACCACCTGTCGGTCCTCCAGTGTGCTTCTCACTCCTCCTCCTGCTCATCAGGGGGCTGCAGTTCATTCCCCCAAGTCGGTTCCGCCGTCAGCCGTTTGTCATGGGTGTCTCCCAGCGGGGTCGCGGGCAGGCTCACTTTGAGGCGAGCGAGACATCCATAACTTCTCCACATTCGTTTCGTCGTCCGTAGTGATGTGTAGTTCGTCCTGAATCGCAAGTGTTCTGACCCGCTCCGTTTCGTTATCCTCTATCGTTACTCCTCTCTCCCCATCCTCCCCTTTTTGCACCCTCTCCCTCCCTCTTTCCTCCCCCATCTTCTGCCTTCCTCCTGTTCCTCCTCCTGCTCCCCGTTCTCTTCAGCCTCTCTGTTCCTTCCCTCGTCCCTTCTCTTTTCCCACCTCCTCCCCACCCCTCTTCTCTCTTTCCCTATCCTCCCTTCCGCCCCCTGGCGCTGCCGCGCGGCAAGGTGACCTACCAGCCGGTGTCCCGCTCGCACACGACGTCTGGCTTCTCTGTGATGTGCCCCCGAGCGCAGGGGGAGGAGTCCTTGCCTCCCAGCGTCCCTCCTGCTGTTCCGCGGTTGTGGCTCCTCCCGCCCCTCCCTCCGTTTCAATCCTCCCCCTCCCGCCCTCGTCCCTCCTGCTTCCTTGCTTCCCGTGCACCTTGCTTCTCCCCTTTTTTCCTCGTCCAGTGTGCCCCCTGCCTCCTCCCTCTGGGCGCCCCCGTCGATCTCGCCGTGGACGCTTGCAGCCATCGTGGTTCAGGTGGGCTGCCCGTCGTGATTCTGCCAATCTGCGCGGGCATCCGTGGGCCAATCGTCGTCGAGCATGTCCTCCGCCCTTCCTGTGGGAAATCGATGAGGTTTGCGTTCTCGTCTTGTTGCTGTCGATGGCCTTCCCAGGCCTCATGACGGCTCCAAGAGAGCCCAAGAGGGCCCCAAGAGAGGCCCAAGAAAGGCTTGAGACGGCCCCCAAAGCGCCCAAGAGCGCCCCAATAACGCTCCAAGAGGGGCCCAAGAGGCGATTTCTGGGGCTTCCGAAAGGGGGGGGCAAATTAAGGGCCCCCCTTCTTTGCTCGAGCTCTTTCAAGATGGCTTCATGAGGTCCTTACCCAACACAGCCATTGAGCCTGCACCTGCTACCACGCTAGTGCAGTCAGTTTTGCAGCATACCTTGACCGACGATGGTGGTGGAGGGGCGAAGTCACTTGCGGAGCTTACCCGTGAGGTTGTGCTTGTTGGGATCTGACACGAACATTTGACAGGTCAGCGTGTGCTACCACCTCAGTGCTGCGCGTGTGTAGCTCGTGCCCTCTTGTTCGGTTTTTCCCTGTTCTTCGATTGTGTAACTATTCCACCTTATGGTTTGCTGCTTCTCCCTCCCAACGGCAGCTCGCAGTTACTCTATGCGCTCTCGGGCCACACACCTTTTGTATCCGCTCTTCCTACGCCCCCACACCCGTATTGCCAACTGCCTTAATTTGTTGACCTTGGCCGAAGTCGGCATTATGGTCTTCCTTGAGGCCCAGTACTTTTTTCTCGACGCAGCAAGTATCGTTTCTATGTCTATGTCTCATCAGTGTCGAAAAAGAGGAGGAGGAGGAGGAGGAGGAAAGAGAAGGAGGAGGAGGAGGAGGAGGGCCTCGCAAAATGGGGAGGAACACCTCCAAGGGGCCGTCCAAGATCTGAGAAGCGCAGACGTGGCTCCGGGAGCGTGGACCGGCGACGGGCTTCTCGCTTCCGTGCAGGATCGGCACGGTTCGCCTCGCCGAATCAGGCGGCGGTGGCCTCATGTTTCGGGGGGGGGACCTCCTCCTGCTCCTCCTCCGTTCCTGCTCCTCCTCCTTTTCCTCCTCCTTTTCCTCCTCCTCCTCCTCCTCCTTTTCCTCCTTTTCCTCCTTTTCCTCCTCCTCCTCCTCCTCCTCCTCCTCCTCCTCCTCCTCCTCCTCCTCCCCGTCCTCCCTCCTCCTTCCTCGAGCCGTGGACCCGGCGCCCACGCGCTAGATCCACGGATGAGGGCTTTACGTTACAGTGGGGGCCCATGCCAAGAAGCGCTTTGCTTGCCTCCAGGGTGCCCTTGGTTTCTTGGGGTCTCGAGGGTTTTGCCGTGGAGAGCGTGGCCTTCCCACACCGAAAGTCAGTGGACGCCCTGGGCTCCCAGGGTAGGGTTTCTCGTGGACGGTTTCTTGTGGACTGGCCTCCGCTGCAGCGTGCGCCCGACCCGTGGGGGGTGGGGGTGGGCCGGGCGCGGAGCGGCCCGCGGAAGGTCGACGGCCCGACGGCAACCGAGGAGGGGCAGCAGCCGCTTCCCTGCCCGTTGCCTCCGCCCGGCCTCCCCGCGCGGCGCCTGCCGCGCAGGTACACCGCGGTCGTCAAGACGACCCCGCTGTTCGACTCGAGCCAGGGCTTCGTGTGCCCGGGGCCCGCTGATGTCGCGCGCGGCTCATGGGGGGGAGGCGGCATAGCACAGTCGTAGGTTTGCCGCGCTTGCGACGGTTTCCATAAACGTTGGAGCTGGCTAGGGGGCCGAGGTGCCCCGGCCAGCTGAAGGGGGTGAGAAAGGGTCCCTTTCGTCGCCTCGGCTGGACGCGGTTCGGAAAACTGGCCACCTTTATTGTGTACGTCATTTTTCCCGCCAGACACATGCAGCGTAGCGCGTCGCGCGCCCACACGGTGGGACACGCCCACGCATCGCGTCGATGGTGGCCCTTTGGGCTCGAGATATCTGTTCCGCACAGCGCAGCGGCGCTGTCCCGCGCCAGAGGCGCTAACAGCTCTGCGCGCCGCCAAAGTTTTTGGAGCAGAGTCTGATGGCAACCCTCCCGCTGAGTGCGAGCGTCATGCAGGGCGACTTTCTCGATGGTGTCGTGGAGTCGACCCTGCGTGGCGTGGTCAGCCAGCTCAAGGCGGAGTACCAGAAGGAACTCAAGATGGCCCTGGCGGCCGCCAGCCAGGATCGGCGGCGGGCCCACCGGGCAAGCGAGAGGGGGCCGCCCCTCTCGGGAGGCGGCCGGGCTCCTCGGAGGCCCTGACGCCTCCCGAGGAGCCTCCAGGGTCTGAGGAGCAGAGACGGCCCTCTCAGCAGGCGCGAGGGCATCCGAGAAGCCCCGCCGCCTCCCGAGCAGGCCCGCATCCCCACGGGGCTCGCCGCCCACAGGAGCCGGCTGGGGCCAGCGAGGCCTGCGCCGAGGGCGCCGACCTCGCCTCTCCGAGCGAGCTGGCGGTCCCCCTGAACACGCCCGTGACGCCGGTGGCCGAGCTCGGCGGTGCTCAAGCAGCGGTGAAGCGCCCTGGCTTGGTGATCGTTCTCTGATTCCTTGCTTTGCCGATCGGCGCGGGCCCTCGCCCCCCACCCCCGTCCCCCTCCCCTCCCTGGAGTGGATCTTGGCTACTTTTGGCGCCTGTCTCAGGTAGGTGGAGTCTCCCCCACAGGACGCACTGGTGCAAGCAGTCGCGTCAAGCAGAGGTCTGGAGCCAGACCCCCCCCTCCCCCCCTTCCGCCCAATGTCGAAACGCTGAATAAGAAAACGCTCACTTGCCTATAGGCCCACTAAAAATGTTAGTTCTAAGAACCTTGTGTGGTCTGCGCGAAATGTTCTCAAAGAGCATGTCTGGCTGAGGCTGTCTCGTTTCAATACCTCGGGGCTATATGTTCTGATAACAGTGGTCTTGCTTTCAGAACATTTTTGGCGTGCTGAGAACACGTCGTGGTAGGCTTAAGTAGGGCCTGTCCCCCCCCGCAGGAGGAGTCTTCAATCATAGTCCTGACACAGTCTGGGGACGATTTGTTTCACGATTTCTTTTTGTTGTTGTTCATTTTGGGGGTGGTTTTGTTTTTTTTCGTCCAACCTCCCCCTGCAGGACGACATGCCCGACCTACAAGCGGCCCGGATTAGTAGGTCGATCATTTTGGGGGTGGTTTTGTTTTTTTTTCGTCCAACCTCCCCCTGCAGGACGACATGCCCGACCTACAAGCGGCCCGGATTAGTAGGTCGATCCTGCCAAATCGAGGATACCCTCGTGTCCTGTGTTTTGCGACCCATGCCTCCAGCACTCCTGTGGCAATGTGGCCCTCGGAAGGGTCTTGTGTTATGATGTTCCAACCTGCTTTAGCCTTGATCACCAGAATGAATTTCGAGCACCAAGAAAACACCCCAAAACTTCAACGTTTTCACGTGTCAGGCCCTGGGAGACACTCTTTCGACACTCTTTCGACACTCTTTCGACACTTTTCCGGGTGCTCGAAATTATTTCTGGGATGTGGTCTTGAAGTACGATGGGAGCAACATAAGTCTCGCCGTCCTCTCGCGAGTCCTGGCCAGTGAAGTCCGATTGTCATGGCAGGCCTCCTCGGCACTGCCGGGGCGGTGGCCCCCCGCTCGGGAGGTTCAAGCAGTGGCGAAGCGTCCATGCTCGCCTATAGCCCCACCAAACAATGTTCAAAGAACCTCTTGTGGTTCCCAGGAAATGTTCTTAGAACGTTTCTGGCGGGGACCGTCTTGTTTTAACACATCGGATTTTGGTTCTAAGAACACTGTTTTTGTTCTGAGAACATTTTTGGGTTCTAAGAACATTTCGTGGTATGACTATAGGAATGCCGGTGGGTACAATGCCCAACAGCAGTTCCTGTTCATTTTGAACAGGACTCGCTGTCCGCGCCGCCGCGGTCTGTGTCCATTCGAGACAGGGGGCCGCCTGCCCAGCAGCGGCCGCTGCTGGTTTGGGACGACATTTGTTGTCGGGCATTGTGCCCGTTCTTTCCGTACCCATCTCGGGCCTCCAATCGCTCGGGAGGTGCCCTCCGCGGCCTGGCCGGGGAGCCGCAGGCGGCGCCCGCCGCCGGCCCCCCCGCCGCGGCGGCCGCGGCGCGGGCGAGCGCCGTGGGCGCGCGCCTGCTCGTGGCCCCCGAGCGGGAGGCCTGGAGCGAGGGCGAGCGGCAGTCGCTGCGGGCCGGCAAGCGGTCGCAGCACTCGGCGGTGCGCGAAGGAGGAGAAGAAGGAGGAGGAGGAGGAGGAGGAGGAGGAGAGGAAGAAGCAGAAGAAAAATGATAAGAAAGAGGAGGAGGAGGAGGAAGGGAGAAGGAGGAGGAGGAGGAGGAGGAGAAGAAGAAGAGGCAACTGCACAAACTCCCGGCGTGAAGTCGGGCCTGTCCCTCTACAGGAGGGAAATCCAAAAAAGGTCAAATACTAGTCTGGGGGCGTTTCTTTTTGTAGACTATTTTTGTATTTTATTTCCGCATTCTTCTGTTATTTCTTATTTTTCGTCTAAATCCGCCTGTAGAAGGACATGCCCGACCTAATCCCAGCGTTTTCACAACGGGCGTTTTAGGTTTTTTTACAGCGGGCTTTTTCGGCCACTTTCGGGCCCTGGGACCCTCATAGATCGATCCGGCTCGACAAATGACGCCCGAAGATGGAGTCCAGGGTTCCAGTAGTGATTTTTCGCGATGTTGCAATTTTCTTGCAACGTCGGATCTCAGGGTCACCGGGCGAGTTCCAGTATTGGGCAAACGTGAGACTCGAGCAAGCCGGAGCTCGGGTTTGCTGGTGTTTTTTGACGAGCGCGTCTGCGGTTTTGACGGTCCGCTTTTCGTGGGATGTCTGCAGCGGGAGGTCGCGTCAAGTTTCAGATTGGGTCTCGTCATTTTCATTGTTGGCCCCGTCAGGCCAACCCGAGTTCCCCGAACCCGAGTCTTACGGATCCTAGAATTCCCCCGCGGCGGATCTGGGCCATTGGCGAGTAGTTCTTTTGCGAGTAGTGGAACGTGCTTGTCTAGAAACATTTTGGCGCTCCGCGCGGATTTCTTGGATCCGCGCGGCACAGGGGCCCCCCCCGGCGACGCCTCCGGCGCCGCGAGGGGGTCCGGCGCAGATCCAAGAAATCCGCGCGGGGCGCCAGAAGTTTGTGTTATTTTATTTTTCTTCTTTCAGGTGTGGCCCGACAAGCCCGCCCGCGCCAGCAAGGTTCGGGAGCGAAAGAGGAATGTGCACGTACATGATCCACGTTGGTTTCGAGGGTCGCATTGCGCGAGCGTGCGTATCAAGCGGGTTAGTCTCGCGGGCTGGGGGGCCTTGCTCATGTACGTGGTTGGACGCGTACGTCCTTTGTGGGCTCCCTAAATTCACGGGCGAAGAGCGGTATAAGATACACTCTTCGATGCCGGGGACGCCTGTCCCAGGGCGGCTGGAGAGTTTGTACCCTTACGATGGCACGTCAAAGCATAGCCTCTCCGGCCGCCCTGGGGCAGCCCCCCCGGCGACGTTGAGGAGCGTTTTTTTGCGCCGCCCTTCGCTTGCCAACCAAAGTTCGCGGACAAGTGGCAGGGTAAGCTGACGGACCAGGACCAGGACGTCGTGAAGAGCCTCCGGGAGGAGGCGGTGGCGCGGGAGGAGGCCGTGCTCGCGAACAGGGTGCTCGCCTCCGGCTCGCGCGCGTCCACGGTGGAGCCGCCCCCCCTCACGGGCGCGCCCAGCCCCGTCAAGGACCCAGGGTTCAATGTCGGGCCTGTCCCCCTACATTTCGACGAAAAATGAGAAATACCCCAAAAATGCCACAAAAAGGTCCCCAACAATAGTAAAGAAATCGTTTTTTTGTGTGTGTGTGTGTGTTTTTTTTACTATTTGGGTTTTTTGTTCGTCGAAAATCCCTGTGTAGGGGGACACGTCCGACATAAACCCAGGGGTTCAATTTCGATTCCTCCGATTCGATTCGATTCGGTTTCGATGGATGCCGATTCCGTTTCGACTCGGCTTCGGGTTCCGATTTGGGCTCCGATCTCTCGCGAGCCGCCTGCTGGCCTGCCGATTTCTGCCGATTCGATTCATGCCGATCGCCGATCCGACTTATCGATTAGATTTTGGGTTCTCCTGGTCAAGGACCTCTCGTACCGCATCATATCGAGCTCGTCATTCGACTTCTCCATGGGCCTCATCATAATGCTCAACGCCATAACGATCGGCGTAGAGACGTCCATCGCGCGGGACGGGAGCGTGATCCCCGTGGGCCTTCACGTCCTCGAGTACACGTTCCTCCTCATCTACTGCGTGGAGCTGGCCACGCGACTCTACGTCAGCGGAATGATGGGGGCGCTATCGAACAATTGGGTAAAATTTGACGCCGTGATGGTGGTCACAGGTACCTTGAATCTCTTTCTCACGCTGACCACTGTCGGTGGCGATGCAGCGTCGAGTGTGGTGGACAATGCCAACATGTTGAAGATGCTTCGCTTGTTTCGCCTTGCAAAGACCGTGAGGGTGTTCGTCCAGTTTCGCACCCTGTGGATGCTCATCCAGGGGCTCATGTACGCTGTCCTCCCGATGTTCTGGACGGCCATCATCATGGGTGTTGTTATCTACGTGTTCGCTATCATAGCAATGGAGCTTATAGTTCCCTCGAGTGCGGACGATGATCCCAGGAGCCTGCGTGCAACACTCCGCCGAGCCCGAGAGGAGGGGGGGACGCGTGAGGACGTCGTGGATCGATCGGGCGCGCCCAAGGGAGGGCGGTTGGTAGGAGGAAGGAAGGAGGAAGAGGCAGAAGGGCGCTGTGATTGTTTCCCAACTCGCTGTGAAAAGGAATTGCGGTTTCTCGTGGAGGCCGCAGGTACGAACGTCCTGGCCCCTGCGATCGCCATCTCTGCGCTTCGGCGAGCTCGAGGGGTAACCACGTAGAGGGCAGTTTGTCCCAGTGACACCTGTCTCGACAGTGTGTGGCCTCTGGCCTTCCTTCTCTCGCTGCATCGAAGGCATCGCAGGGCGCTGTACTGAGTTGAGTCTGCCGCGGGCGGCAGGTCTGGAGGTGGGCCTGGACGCCTGGACGTCACGTCGGATGGCCATGCATACTCTGTCTGCCGCTGGAGCCGCCAACTCCACCTCAGTGAAGGGATCTTTGGCCGTCGACTCTGTTTCGGGGAAGGGCCGAGGAGGCGGAGGAGGAGGAGGAGGAGGAGGAGGAGGAGGAGGAGGAGGAGGAGGACGAGGACTGTGGAGATGCAGAGGGCGATGCGTGGGCACGTGGCCGGCAGGTGCGCGCCAGACGTGCTCGCCCTTCCCGCTCCACTGCCCTTCCCGCGCCGGGGCTGCACGCGGCCGCCTGCGGCTGCGCCGTGCAGCACGCCTCCCCCTCCTCCCTCCGCCGCTGCCCTACGCTGGAGGCCCCTGCCAAGAGGCGCCCTGCTTGCCTCCCGGGTGCCCCGTTTTCGTTTCGACTGTCCGATGGTCTTGTGCTATAGGGGGGGGCACGGCGTTCCCACAGCCAACACAAGTCGAGCCGGGGTCTCCGGGTGGGGCTTCTCCGGTGGAAGGCTTCTGTGTGGACTGGCCTCCACGGCGCACCCTTCCGCGGAAGCAAGCGACACCGCGAGAGCGCCGCGCCGGAACGCGAGGGCGTGTGTCCACCGAGATTCGGCTGTGCGCGCGCGATGTCTGGAGTTGCCTCCCCGCGTGCGCCCGAGGGGGAGCAGTAACGGGGGGGCGATGGGGATCGAGGAATGATGCAGGCGATCGCAAACACCGATCAAGGGGGCGTGGCTTAGGAACGGGTCCCGTTTCCATGGGAAATCGCGGACTTCCGCCGCCGAGCGAGGCGGCACCGGCCGCATTCGGTGGAGGGCACCTCCCCCGATCCATGGATTTGGCGACCGCGCGCCAAAACCATGGATCGATAATCCATGTTTGCGCGCCCCCGATGCATACGTAATCATGCGGCTACGTTCGGGGCCGCCCTAGAGAGGGGGTTCGGACTAGGGACGCGTGGGTATACCAGTCTCCCAGATTACGTGGCCCCTCTTCTTTCTCGGAGACTGGAACATATACATTACCAGTGGCGGGCTGTTCGGCAATCCCAGGACTTTTTAGAGGGTCGGGGACGACGTCGAGGTGGTGTGGGGTATACTTTGTTTCCCGTTTCCCAGGTGAGCAACGAAGAATGTATACACCAGGATCCCGTATACACCAGGACCCGCCTTCTTGTGCAGGTGTCAGCGCAGGGCCGGAAAAAAGCGTCGGTGTATAGAGTTCGATTCCCTACTTGCTGCACATCCCCTGGCCCTCACCCGTCCGTGCACATGCCTGGGGTCGTGATGCGCCCCCCGCCCCCCCCGTGCCTGGCTCCGCTCGCTGGCGGCACCCCACCTGGAGGTCCGCGCAGATCTCTTGGGTCGGCGCCGGCACCCCCTGGTGGCGCCTCCGGCACGGCCCCCGCTGCGTCTCGTGCGTCAGGCGCCAGGGAAGGGAGCCCAGCGCCGGCCCAAGAGCTGGCGCGGCTTGTACAGCGTTTTAGCTCTTCCGGAGGAGGAGGGGATCGGGTTGGCCCCAAAGGGGGTCCAGCGACAGGGGGGTGGTGCAATAGACTTGGTGCAATAGATTTGTGGGGCTTCCATACATACATTCCAGGGAGCAGACGTATTGCTGGATTTTCGCGTGCAATGCGTTCGTTGCGCTACAATGCAAAACGATTCTTCGGCACAGTACGTTTGCAATGCAATTGCCCCAAATCTACTGCACCACCCTCTTTCAGCTGGACCCCCTTTTGGGTCGACCGAAGAGAAGGAGGTCAGGGGCAGGGAGCAGTTGTGAGCCAAGGGGCCATGCCCCTTTCAAATAAGATGCTGGACCCCCAGGAGGGAGAACACTGGGGGGGGGCGACCGAACCTGGCACGCGCAGTGTCATCCCAGCCAGCGTGGATTGGCGGATTACAGCAGAGTCGCGCGCAAGTATGACACCATCGGGGACGCCATGATGACGTTGCTTCAGTTCATGACCCTGGACAGCATATCCTCAGTATACAGACCTTTGGTCGAAACGAAGCCGTGGTTGATGACCTATTTTTTGATCTTCATCCTGATTGGCCCAATTGCCTGTATGAACATTGTTATCCAGGTGCGCTGCCGCGCGAATTCGCAACCTCGCTTGGGCGGGCGCCAAGGAAGGCGGGGGGGCTGCTGGGCGAGGGAGGGGGCGCAAGCAGGCGGACAGACGCCAGCGCACCTCCTGCCCGAAGTGTTGGCTCGGGTGCAAGCATTCCTTCGCATGCAGAACCACAGGGACTTAGCCAGGCAAGGGAACGCGTGTTGGGCTCGATGCGCCGGTGGCGCGCTTCGCAAGAAGAAGGGAATCACACAAGATGCTTCGCGCTTTGCGTATCCACACCAGCCCATTCAGAAACCCTGCCCATGAAAGGGACGGAGCGACAGACACATCTAGTGTAACAAAGCGGGCAACCAGGTGATCATTTTCTTATTCATTGACTTTCCGATCGACGCGGGCCCTCGCTCCTTCCTCCCCTCCATGGAGCCTCCCCTAATAGGACTTACGTTGCAAACATTCGCATTAAGCAGAGGTACAGAGCCAGATTCTCCCTTCCGCCCAATGTAGAAACGCCGAAAAAGAAAACGCTCGCCAGGGTGAACAGAGAGATCTCTGGAGCAAGGGGGGGCCTTGGAGGGCCTCTTCGGGCCATCCCTTGGGCCCGCCTGGGGGCGAGGGAAGGAGGAGGAGGAGGAGGAGGAGGAGGAGGAGGAGGAGGAGGAGTAAGACGACGATGACGACGACAACCAGGACGACGAGGAAAAGGAGGAGCATCAAAAGGAACACGATTAGGGTAAGGACGAGGACCAGGAGGAGGAGGAGGAGGAAGTAGGAGGAGGAGGACAACGAGGACGATGGCAGAGCCTTCTGAATCGCCTTTTGGAGCTCTCCTGGGGCTCTTTTGGGGGATCTTTGGGTCCTCTTGGGGCTCTTTTGGGCCCTCTTGGGGCTCCCTTGGTGACTTGTTTGGAGCCCTGCAGGGCCTCCTGGGGCTGTCGTGGAGGGCGTCGGTGAAAAGAGAAGGGTCGTAACGTTTGGTCCCCTTCTAGGGCCCTCGAAATCGCCCCACTTGGGTCCCTCTTCCGGCATTCTTGGGCACCCTTGGGGCTGTCTTTGGGGGCCGTTTTGGCCCATCTTGGGGCTCTCATGGGCCATCTGGGGGCCATCTTCGGGCCTGGGATGCGCATCGGAAGCGCAAGGCGAGAGTGCCAACATCTTTGATACTTCTTTGATTGTTGAAGGGTTTGGGCCCCTTGGGGGGGTCTCGAGGGGGCCCCGAGAGCACTTAGAGAGCCGTCTTGCGGCCCTCGTCGGCCCTCTTTGAGGCATGTCGGAGGCTATATTGAACTACAGTCAACGCGCATAATAAGGACAAACGATTTTTTCAAGGGTACCCTTGGGTCCTTGCATGCCTCAGCCTCTGGGGCCCGTCTCTAGCAATTTTCGCAGGCCAGAATACTTCAACTTCGGCCTCCAAGGGTCTTGCGTCCTTACCACGCGTCCTTACTATACGTTTTCACGGTGCATTCGGCTATCTGGAGCCGCCTTTGAGGCCATCCTGGAGCACGGGAGACCCTCTTCGAGCCCATCTCGGGCGGGCCCTCTGCCGCCTCGCGACCCCCGCCAGAGAACCCCAGGAGGAGGAGGGGGAGGGTACCCCTCCACGAAGGGAAGAGGGTTCTAGGTCCTAGAACCCTCTTCCCTAGGAGGAGGAACGGGAGACCTCGCCAGACCATTTTGGCCCAAGGGATTGGTGGGATTAGCTTGGCGCAGAGCCCGACCCGATCTGAGCGATGTGCAACTGTAGCGAGGAAGGGGTGTGTCGACATGGGCTCGGGGACGCCATGCGAGCACTCCCGCCGAGGCCCGCGGGCCACGAGACGCGTCAGGGGTATGCCGAAATGGGCACGAGGACGCCATGCGAGCACGCCCGCTGAGGCCCTGGGTGGAGCTGCGTGTGGGGCTGCGAAGCGCGTGGGGGATGCGCCGAACTGGGCGTGGGGACGCCATGCGAGCACGCCCACTGGTGCTATCGGTGGAACTCCCTGCCGGGCACGAAGCGCGTGAGGGGCGTGCCGAAGCAAGTGGGGTCTGGGGGCGCCATGCGAGCATACCCTCTGTGGGCCTGCATGGAGCGCCCTGTGGGGTACGACGCGTGCGAGGGGTGTGCCGAAGTGGGCGCGGGGACGCCGTGCGAGTTCGCCCGCCGAGGCCATGTCTTGAGCTCCGCCGAGCACGAAGCTCGTCAGGGGTATGCCGTCATCGGGCGCGGGATCGCCATGCTGAGCACGCCCGCGCTCCCCGTGCGGCGCGCAACGTCTGAGGAGTGCGCCGAGGTGCAGCTCCCTGCGGAGGCAGGAGCCGCGTCCGCGTGAGGGGCGTGCCGAAGTGAGTGCAGCAGAGGCAGCAGGAGCGGCAGGGATTGGAGGAGGGAGGAGGAATAAGAGGAAGGATGAGGAGGAGGACGAGGAGGAGGAGGAGGAGGAGGAGGAGGAGGAGGAGGAGGGGAGGGAGGAGAGGGGGAGGATGATGGTGCGGAGCAGGAGGAGGAGGAAGAGGAAGAGAAGGAGGAGGGAGGAGGAGGGATGAGACGCGCGGCGCTGCTGATTCAAAACGAGGACCCAACACACTAGAGGGCCGGGAACGATTAAGGGGCCGACGCACACACACACACAAAAGCACGCACGCACGCACACGCACACACGCAAACACACATACACACACCACCACAGACACCACACACACACCACTACACACGTACGCACGCACAAACCGCTACAAGCGCGGTGGCAGACCGCCATCATGGTCGAGTCCGCGCTGCGCACCGCCAACGAGGATCAGGAGGCGAAGAAGGCATGGGACGCCATGAGGAGAAAGACCATGATGCCCAAGCTGAGAAGCATGTTCATGGCTATGGACACCAGTGGTGACGGCGAGGTGGAGCTCGAGGAGGTCATAAATTCTCCGCCCGAGATCAAGGAGGCATTGCAGCACATTGTCGGCCTTGAAGAACTCGAGGAGGTCTTCAGCCTAATGGACTACGACGGGAGCGGCAGCATAGACATCGAAGAGTTCGTGGACGGGATCATGCGCTCGAACTCAGATAAGCCGTCGGAACTCTTTGTGCTCGTGAAGCAGGGCAAGGTTCGGAGCGGTTCGAAAACAGAGATGGCTGAGATGTGGCTTCCTTTCCCTCTCATCCCCCCTCCCCCCGCCTTCCTCCTCTCATCCTGCTCTTTGGATCTTTAGATGCCTGCAGCGGTTCCCGGAGGCTCCTGCAAGCTTCCGCAGACAGAAAATAGAGCGACAGCGGCGTTCGACTCTGTCAACCTGAGCCTCGTGCGTCTTGCCCCTGGTTACGTTCCCCACGTCCTCCTCCTCTTCTTCCCTCTTCCTCTTCGTCTTCCTCCTCCCTGCTCAGCGTTCCTCCCTCCCTCCTTCTCCTCTTCCCTGCCATAGCCATTCTGTCTCAAGATTTTGGTTGTCCGCGACACCAAACGGATACCGCTGATCCGTGGCTGTTTCTCTTGTTTTTTGGCGCGACGATCTTCACAGGCACTCTCCATTGTGTGATCACGGAAGCGCCTTCGATTTATGGGGTCCGTAGGCGCCCGAGGAAAGGCACTGGTTGAACCGTGCTGGGTGCCTGGAGTGCGAGTCTAGGGCGCGGCCACGGAGATTGCTTTCGGATGGCACAAATCATATTGCCTGCCGCCATTGACTCCGACCAAACCCACGGTACCAACCGAGCGACGTGGTGCACTTGGCGTTGCTGGGCAGGATGAGCATGAACAGTTCCTGGCAAGTCAACACCGCAGCATTGCACGACTCAGTACTGACCTCGCCGAATCCAGCTGCCAGGGCTGGATCGGCAAACGCGACACCATTGAGGTTGACGGCGGCGCGGGCGAAAATGATGAGGATGGTACAGCTGTCGGCGACGATCAAGCAGATCAACGCGTCGAGGCCGATATGTTGGTTGAGCAGAAACGCTTGCGTACGAACATCGTGGCATACATTCCGAGCGGAATCCGACTGCACATGCTTAGCAACATATGCTCGGCGCAGAAGAAAAAAACGTGACCGACGCTGGGCTGCCGTCGCAGCGCTTCGTGCCCAGCAGGCCGAGATAAACAGAACATATCCTCGCGGACGCTGCGTTGGGGCTGGTGGAAGCGGAGGCCCAACGGCGCACGTCACTAGCGGCAGCTCCTCAACCCCAGGGGGGCTACTACCCCGGGCACGGCCGTCGCGGGCGCAGGCATGCTGGTCGAGGGTATCGACGCGATGTTGTTGGCTGTCGGTGCCTAGCGAGAGCTCGCAACCACGGCGCAGCACACCTTCGAGGATCTACTCCGACTGGGTTTTGAAGCTGCTCAGCGTACTGTTTCTGATCGCGCCGCAGCAGGCAGCGCAGGCGATGGCGAAGCAGGGCGAGTTAGCGGTGGGCCTGGCGCGCTGCCGACGGCAAGTCCGCGGCCGACGGGAGGAATCAACAACACACCCTCCCGATGTGCGCGGGAGGCGTTTCCTGTTTGCACGGGCTCTACGGCGCAGCTTTCGGCCAGGGCCCCCCCGCGCAGGAAGCTGCCCTGCGGGCCGCAGTGGAAAGGTTCGGGGGGGCCTGCGGCACGCGCGCCAGGCGGGCCAGGTTCAGGTGTGCAAGTTCTTGAACGTAGCGTTCGGATGCAACTCCTGGGAGGTCAAATTCAGATTGTTCTGGTCCGAATACGGTTCAATCCCGCTTCGCCCGGCTCAATCCCGCCAAATCGGGCCCCCGCCTGATCTGGCCCAACCCCGCTTGGAGGCCCATTCAGGCGCAGCAGCCCCCCCTGGGGTTGAATCATTTTAAATCCTTCCGAAGACGTGCACTTTGGAAGGGACCTCTCAAACTTTCGTTCGGCCTGCGCAGTGCCCGCCAGAGCGAGAACGCAGCTGAACAAAGGAGGGCGCGCAGGTAGCCACGGAGCTCGGACACGCAGAAGCAAGGCGCGGACGACGCTGCAAAGCCTTAGGAGAGCAGAGCATTGACGGCGCGATCACCAAATCTGCAAGAGGCCGAGGTGCCAGCGGGGGGCAGCTCCCGCGGCCTGCTCGCCCTGCGCATCTCTGCGCCCCGTTCCTCCGAGGCCCGCGGCGCCGCGCGCAGACCCACCCGCCGGGGCCCCCAGGTTCGGGGCAGCGCGCCCCGACATTTGGATGCCACTCCCGGGATGTCCACTTCTGACTTTGCCCTGGTTCGAATCCCGCTTAATCCCGCCACGCCCGGCCCGATCCCGCCTAATACGGCATATTCTGCTTCGTCCGGCTCAATTCCGCGCAATCCGAGGCCCATTCTGGCGCGACAGCTCCCCGCCAGGGCATAATCCTGTTAAATCCTCCCGACGAAGACCTCCCATGAGTTGCCTCCTAACCTGCGCGGGAGGGGAGGCGGGCGCGCTGTCGCTAGCCGCGGTGGGCCCAGTGCTGGCGCCCCCCATTTCAGAGGCGATGGGTCGGGCGCGGGCCTGCCTGGCGGGGCGCGATGCGGGGCGCGGCCGGCGGGCCCAGCCGGCAGCGGGAAGTCGCAGGGGCGCCCGCGTGCTGGCGCCGCCCCGGGGCGGACGTGACCTTCCTGGGGTCGGGCGTTGAGGCGTCGCGGATTGTTCGACCCGTTCGGGAACGCGCGGCCTCGGCGAAGCCGGCGCCGGGCAAGGCGCGGGGCGATCTTTCGGCCCCGCAAATTGCGCCGCAACGTGGAGGCGCGCCCTCCGCGCGCGAGGAGGCTGATTTACTTCCGCGATGCTGGGGGGCCACGCCCGCGCGAGGCCGACGCGTGGGGTCCTCGAGCCGCTCGGGCCGCCCCCGTGACGGGGCGCGCTCGGCCCCCGCCGCTCGCGGAATGGAAGCAGGCCCGGGCTCGGATATCCTCCGCCGAACCCCGGGGCGCGGGCGTTTCTCGCAGCCTGGGGCCATGGCGGACAACGATAATCTGATCACATCATTGGCTGCTTGTGTGAATGAAGACGCTTCGTCTGCGACGAGTCTCAAACCGACGCGCGGGCGCGTCGCGGCCATGCCCGCTCGCGCGCGCGCGACAAAGTAGGCGCGCGCCAAGAACGGCGCGCGGTCCGTCCGCGCTGCGCGCGGCGCAAGACCAGCGCAAGCGCGAAAGCCATGAGTCGGGGCGGGCCGAGGCGCCAGAGCTGAAGTGGCGCGTCGCCCAACGCGGCTCGGCGAACTTCAGCCGAGAATGCTGGAAATGACTTCAATGTCGTTGTCCAACTTTCTGCGTGTGGGTCCTTTTCAGCAGGCGCTGAGCGGGCGACATTTCCGCGGCCGCGCAGGGCCGCCGCGGCGCGCGCGGCGCAGGGCCCGCGGGCCCTGGGGCGATGTGCCCGATGATGTCCGGGCATGGCGCGTTCGGGTCAGGCAGTCGCGTCGCTGGCGACGACGATGGCGACGCTCGAGGAGCGCGTTCTGCGGGGCGTCTGCGCGGCGATGGCCAGGTAGCCGAACTCCGCGCTGGGGCCCAGGTGATGCGGGCGTCGATGTCATCCCTGGCGAGGTGCGAGATTGTGTATCGAACCTCCCTTCGGGCCTCTGCCGCTGCGACTTCGCCGTGGCCGCGTCGGCCCAATGAACGTTACTCGAATTGTGTCGCGACGGTCGCCGGTGGAAGTCGACGGAGGTAGAGCGAGGCGGAAGGCGGCGAAAGGCACGCATAAGACAGCGGAAGTCATTTACGCCCGCGGAAGCCGACGGAAGTAAATCGAGGCGGACGACGGCGGTATATTTGCCGAATGCAGCGGAAGTAGAGGACGCTCTTCCCGAGCCCCCATCCCGCGCAGACGCCCGCCGCGTTGTTTTCTGCCGCTGGCCCGGCGGGGCCCCGCCTAGCGCGGCCCCTTGTTCGTAGTGCAGGCTTAGATCAGTCCGGTCAAAAGTCGGAGGCGCGCACCGATGCCCCGATCCACCCCCGGGATGCAGACTTCATAGCGGGGATTTGTTTGGCGCCGCTGGTTTGTATCCAGTCTTCTTTCGTTGATATTTGCTTCACTTTCCCTCCGCCATGCCGCGCGTCTTCTTCTTCCTTCGCCCGCCCCCCCCCGCCCCCCTCCTCGCGGCCGCCTTTGTTGCGTTGCGTGTTTCTGGTGGCGGGCCGATGACATCCGCCGCCGTTGCTGCGAGCGTCGCGATCAGTTCGGCGCGCTCCTCGCGCGGATCGCGCCCCGCCGGGGGGGCGTCGCGCGCGGTCTCAGCAGGGGCGCGCCCAAGGCGTCTCCGCGCTCGCTTCGGCGCGCCCTCGGCGCGGACTGAGTCCGCAACGGGCCCCGCCCCCGGGCCCGGGGCGGGCGCCCCGCGACGTGCGCATCTGCAGCCTTTGCTGTGCGCTCCTCCGCGGTTCGCGCCAGCGAGGGATCTCGCCCCGCGGCCCTCGCGGGGGGGGCCCACTTGCGTTCCGCGCTCGCGTCGGCGGGCTTCGCGAAGATCGCGGCAGCGCGCTGAATGAAGGGCCCACTGGGGGTTCCCACGGCGTCTCCGCGCTCGCTTCGGCGAGCCGCTCCAAGCAGGCGGGGCCTCCTGCGAGCTCAGTGGGGGCAGTCGCTATTGCGCGTGGCGCATGCGTGCAGACGTCTGCTCGCGCTCGCGCAGATCGCGCCCCGCGCGGCAGCTCGGCGCAGGGCCCAGGCGCGGAGGTCGGGCCCTGGCACTTTTCATTCAGGTCGCGCCCCGCGCGGAACGTCGCCCGCGGCCCCGGCGGGGGCGGCGCAGGGCAACCCGTCGGCAGAGCCTTGCCCCGATCTAGACACCGGCGCCCGCCCGCGGGAGGAGGGCGAGGGCGAGTTGATGCGAGGGGCGGGGGGGGGGAAGACATCCGCCCGATGAACGAGATTCGAGCGGCCCCCAAGATGCTTGCACAGCAATTGGGGCCACTGCGGAGGGAGGCGAGCAGGCTCGCGTGCGAACGGGGCGAAATCCGCGCGACCGCAAGCCGCGAGTGCCTAAGTTCAGCCGCGGGGGCGACTCGCAGCCACGGCGCGGGCGCGGGGCGCGCGAAGCAGAAGGCGCAGGACAGGGGGGGGGGGACGAGGGGGGCATCAGACCCCGCCGAACGATCGTCGGAGGCTTCGCGGAGGAGCTGGAGCAGGAGGGGGCGGCGC